TTTTGTTGTTGTTCCCATGATTCTCTAATGAACAAGCCTGAATTTTAAATTTCCTGGTTACTATTAGTTCCAGTTCATACCTTCACATTTAAAATGTCACTTTCATTTTTTTTTAATATATGCACACACATACACACATACACACACATATATATAGATATATATATGTATATCAGTTCATAAATCCAAAATGAAGAGAGAGCTAATACGGTTATCAAAGCCTTTATGAGCTGTATAAAGACTTGTTAAGAATTGACATCATCGACATTTGACTGAAGTAGATGTGCACCAGTCGTGGCTTTAACTACAAGGCAAAGTTGGAAAGAATGTTTTAGGTTTTCAAAGAGAAACAGTAAGAACATCAATGTTAAAACGAATTATCCAAAGAGAGAGAAAAACGCCAGATGTGGGAAGTCATCCAAAGGCTTCATCCTTTCTTTCTGTAGTGTCTCATTGTTCAGTTTGATTGCTCAGCAAAAGCAGACTTTTACCTTCCAAAATGATTGTGCCAGGTCCCTCTTGTGCCTCTAGCAGAGAAGAACCAGGACACGTAGAAGTCAGCCAGGTTGCAAAGGCACCACGACGCGTGACAGTACTACACAAAAACATGCTGTGTTCGGACATGGATGCAAAAGGTTTGCGGTTATCTGGAGGAAAACGCTGTCTTGGAACTGACTTTTGTTCTTAAGGTGGGAAGGAGGGGTTATTTTTATTATTCAAACAATTCAGTCAATCCACCAATCAACTCTCAGTCAACCATTGCCAAAAATATAGATATATCTCAACTACATGGCCCTTTTAGAAAACTCACAGCTTAGATAGAACATAAAGCATTCTCAGAAGCATCCCTGGGTATGGAAAAAGTCAGCTGATCCCATCGGTCTTGCCTGGAGTTCCCCCATCGACTGATGACAGCTGTACAGCTTTACATTGGCACAGCAGTTTGGGTATGTCTGACTGAATCCAACCACGAAGTTAAATGTTCTGGTGTTCTTCCTGAACTGGCTGGTATGATTAACTCCAGCATGTTAGCTCCATCCTAAGACTCAAAAAAGAAACACCGCGGAAATTCACATGCGAAAAGTCAGGTGATGGGCTAAGATACGTTCGACTAGGAAAAAAAGAATGCAAATACAAAACTAAATGAAAATCAGTTTGAAAAATGACCACTATGTCCATTCACGGATTAGGATCGGTTTGGCAACCAAAGATCAAAACTGCACAGCAATCACTTGTTACTTTTGACTGACAACGGATTACTTGCAGATGCTCTGAAATGTATATCACTGAGCAAGTGGGCTTGGCCTGTTTTTATCTTTTAAATACTTTTCCATTAATGGCATCGAGTACAGTTGTGTATTTACAGTGATTGTTAAAAAGATATATATATACACTTCCTTCACTTTTTTCACCTCTACAAACATCAAGAATGTTCTGGAGGTAAGGAAAGGGGAAGGGGAAGGGGATGGAGAAAGGAAGGGAAGGGGAAAGAGAAAGGAAGGGAAGGGGAAGGAGAAAGGAAGGGAAGGAGAAGGGAAGGGAAGGGAAGGGAAGGGAAGGGAAGGGAAGGGAAGGGAAGGGAAGGGAAGGGAAGGGAAGGGAAGGGAAGGAAGCCTACACCACCACCAAAACAATGTTTATTTTTTTTGTTTTCTTTTTAAAGTGATGGTTTTTGGTTTGCTTGTTGATTGATTTGTTTTCCTTAGCTGCTCATGTCGCTAGATTCTCCGCATTTATGCTGGACATCCGAATCTGAGAGCTGCTCTTGCTCAGAATGGAGAGTTGTGTCCCCCCGTTCACTCCGCTGCTCGCTAGAGAAGGATGACGATGTTTGAAATCCACAGCAAAATACCGGTTGACTTTCCAGCTCCTCCATTTTCTCTTTATTTCTGATTGCACCTTTAGGGAGAAACTTCAAAAGGTCATTTTTTATGTACTTAGCCGCTCGAGGACATGCTGACAAGTTATCAAGTTCAGAAGAAAAAAAAAAAAAGAGCAATTTTGAAGGCTATTATTAAACTCCTTACTTCAGAGAAACCTACAGTGATTTCTGCATGCCTGAAAGAGTGCCAGGCATGATGTGGGGAAAGCAGCCTGGGTTCTGAGTTTCTGACTTCAGATGACTTGGGATGAGCCCACAGGTGCTTAGAAGATGTGCTTGGTACTAACTCAAACATGGTTTTTGATTTAGCTTTCTGAAAAAAAAAAAATTATCTCATTTTCATCAGTGGCCAGTGGCAAGCACGTAGCAAAGAGCCAAAGATGATGGATAATAATCAAATAACCTGTTCCACAAAGGTCTCTCACCTGCAGTTAATGGATGCATGTCTACTGAAAACTTTGCCTCCTGTGTTCAGCTCACCTCTAAGTAGACAACAGCTTTTGAGTCCACGTACATCTATGAAATACTCCTCTCCCTGGAGCTTTTTCTCATGGGCACAGTAAATCCCGCACAGTAAAGTAATTTGTGTTCAGATGTTCAGTTAGAAAATTAATAAAAATAAAAACAAAAATTAATAACCACTTTGATAATTTTTCTGCTTTTCATTTATCACCGATTTCCTGGTGATCTTTCCAGGGGAACAGATGTGTACGTAATTACAGAAGATAATAAGGACTTAGCATAAGAAAGATTGTACTGGCTTGGACCAACATTTACTCATTTGGTTACTCATTTCCAACAGTATCCTGTAGCATATTTAGGAAGGAAATCACCTAAGAACTGACAAATGTGGAGATATCCTCCTAACATTTTTTTCCAGCCTTCAATGAGCTTGTGTATCAAAACTTCTTTTTCCCTTTAGCAGAAATTGCTAGATTTTTGTAGACTAATACAGTTATTATAATGGATCAGCACATTCCAACATGCCGTACAAGTGCTTTCACAGTATGGGCACTAACTGCAAGGAGGAAAAATCCAACTGGAAAACTTACATTCTCCTTCTAATACTTCTAATTTTCTTTTTTTGTTGTTATTGTATAGATACGAATAGATTAGATAGAGTATGGATCTATCTGTTAGTTTGGTTAAGTACCACTTCCCAAACCAAACCAAACCAACAAAAAAGAAAAAACCACAGAGGTTACAATGCACAATCTTTGAAATGTCCTTATGTCAAGATTTGTTTAAGACCAGACCTTCTGGCTATTTTTGAGTGTGCATGAAAAATAATACACGAAACAACAGGTTTAGGCAGAAAAGACAGATATCCAGTATTGCCAGCTGGTGAATGCAGCCACCAGAGGATCTATGGGAAGACGTAATTCAGAGCACACCTTCAACTACATGGAGGCATGAACAGTGCACATCTACAAGTCCTTTCACGGTCTTCCAGACTATGGCCATGAGCAAAGATAAAGTATACATATGTTTGCTGAACTCGAGGAGATTGCTGTTTTCATCTGAGAAAGAATCTCTTGGATAAAGAAGTTAGAATCCCACTGAGCTAGAGACCACTTATTACACACTGTATCAGAATAAACATGGAATATCTACTGCGATGAAATTGGTAAAATAAATTATTCCAGTCTTCCTAAATAGAAAAACAGAAGGTGGTTTTATTCCTGCTGGACTACACAGTAAATCTGAATCCGTGAAACAAAGAGTGGATGAACAGTATGTATTCCCTTTTAGGCAGAATTGAGTAGGAAGTCTATTTCCACTAATGGAGAAAAGATTCGCCTCATTCATTTAGTTCAATAAACAAAGTCAGGATAATTTCAATTTGCAAATCAGAACAGGCGAATCAGAAATTAGGCCTAATTACAACTGGCACACAAATATACACAAATGCATTCACACAAACATGGATTCAACAAGAAACAGTTTCAGGCTTTCAGAAATGCAAAGATGGAGAACTCTTCACAAACACTACTTTAAACTGTAGTTCAATATAGTATGTAATATTGTCTCTTTGGCCCAATAGGAAGGTAAAGACAGTGTTGATCTGTTAGATGCAAAAAAAGGTTTTCATATCTCTACTCATCATGGTAGATTCGTCTTAGTGAAGTTTTTCAGAGTACAGCTTGGTAACACCATGAAAAGGGAATATGTAATGTGAAAAAAGCCACGACAGCAGCACTCCCTGTTATCCTCTACAGCTGCAGTGCTTTTTAGTACTATAGACTGAAAATAGACAATATCAGCTAGTGGAACTCCAAGGAATGAAGGCAAGATAGAGTGTCTGGGGGTTGATTCATCTTTTTTCTTTTTTCTTTTTTTTTAATTTAGATGGTCAGATGTTAGAAGTTTAAGCAAGGAACTAGTCAATTTATAGATAAACACACCTCTGGAAGACTATTATTTTAATCTGATTTAAATACCACTTTGGAACGAGACAGAGTCTTCCAGTTGTTGTTTTTCTCTCTACACAGATTACAAAGAGAGCACACAGCCGTTACCCCAAAGTTAGTTGTTAAGGAGCTACACCTAAGCACTCGAATGTTATTCTAGAACTTTAAGATTTCCTAAGCCTTCATTACTAAAAATAATAGTGATCTCAGTTACTAAATAGCACCAAGCCTGATGGAATTCAAGAAGTGTTTGGACAATGCTCTCAAACACACGGTTTATTTTTTATGTGAGGAGCCATGCAACGGACTTGATGGTCCTTTTGTGTCCCTTTCAAGACAGGATATTCTATGATTATATAAGAAGTATCACTTGTCTATAGCAGAACAATGAAAAACAGCATTAGACTTTTGGTTTCAGGGACAAATAGTTCCTTCCAGTATGGGCAAATTGATCGCTTTGTGAAGTTGGTCAATAAAGAAAGACTGTATACAAAAACTACATTATCCTTCACTTGTAGATGTGATAAAAGAGTCTGTCAGGTGACACTAAGTGCTCAATCTTCATTTTGTGAGAAGAGGTCTAAGTGACTTACTAGCATGGTCTGATTGGCCAGGATTAATTTCTCTTAGCGTTAACCATTTAAGTAAGATGACTAAGTTAGGAACCTCCTCATTTATGGATATTTGTGTAGTTAATCGGAAGACAGAAGCATCTGCAGACAGAGAGTCAGTTCAGCTAAGATCTGAGTTTCTTTTTCAAGGCGTTTCTGTTGACTGCATGACTCCTGGGAAACTTAACAAAATAATTGCCTCCATTAGGAAGCATTAATCTGAGCCTGGCAAGGACAATGTTTTGGTTTCATGCATCCTCCTTCTTTTGCCGAGAAACTGTGAAATTCATACTAAGATATGAAGGAATATGTAGATGATGATTTACAAGGAGGGATTAGAATAGCCGTTAGTCCCACAAGGAAATGGGATGGGGATGGAAATAGAGATGGTGGGATGAGGGAGGTTAAATATTAAAAGTCTTACCTCCCCGTTCAAGAAACAATAGAGAACAGCAACAACAAAACCCTAGGTAAATGGGAGAGAAAAGAAAAACTAATTCAAACCCTTCAGGAAATGCTGGATAACAGCTGGAGTTTAATAAACAAACAAAATGAAGCATACGTATAAGTGAGTAAACTGGCAGTCTGAGAACTATGCATGCAAAGTCAGAGTAATGAATAGACAGATCTTTTTTAACGAAAGCAGAATTCGCTGTATAATCACCTGGAAAGATCCCAGTCCCAATTCAAACACTAGTCTCTCCCGCTTACTGACATTTTCCGGAGAAAAAGCAAACACCGTGTAGTGAATTCCAAACAAGGGGATAAGCAGTAGTGTAGAGCGAGCCAATCTCCTGTTACAATAGAGTGAAAGAACTTTAATGCAGCCTTGTAATAAACAGCTTGAGCTTTAATTAAAGCAGAAAACACAGAAACTGTTTCATCGCTTCCCTTTCGGGAAATATATACGCCATATAATTATACAAACAAATATTCAGCATTCCCATTTGTTCCCTAATAGTGATTTCACACACACTGTAGTTTGCTCCCATTTCCTCGTACTGATACAATTACAGTAAATTAGTAATGTGTTATACTCTGTACTGTTATTTTGATTTGTATTATTGTAAGTAGGGATTTCATTCTTCATGAAGAAATTCATCTTGGTATGGGATTCAAACTACCACCACAAAACAATAATAAACCACTCACGAAATTGTGTCATTCCATTGGAGGGTTTGTCTGGGGGAAAAACAATATTGATTTTCTTCAAGGTAGTTAAGGAGCTTTATGGAGGACAAGGAAATCTAAAAAGCCAGAAAAACCCTCAGAAGTGCTCCATACTATTTTCAAATTCAAATATTCCATTTGCTTACACGTATGGAGTATACTGAAGACTGATTTGAATTGGATCATTACATGCTTTAAAATATCCTAAAAATTATGCATTTTTCTTGTGAAGAGAATTAAAATCTCCAAGAATTCTGATAATTTCTCCTGTTATATCCAATACTAAGCAAGAAATGGGACATCAGTTCATTGCTAGTGTCCCTCAGTCATACTTTGGGCGCTGATGACAAAAAGCACATCACAGACCTTGCACCGAGATGGCACTAAACACTAGTGATGCCTCAGTCAGATGCAGACTAAATTTCAAGTCTGGGTGAAAGACCCCAGAAACAGGAGAACACAGTTCTCACACGTTATCACATTAGACGCTGGCCAAAAGCTTTTTAACAAGAGAAAAAAGAAAACATTGAAGTGAGTTGACATACAGAGTCTCCATCTTTGGTGCCCTCTGAAATAAGTTACACAGAAGTAAATCTGTGTAACTTAAAATCAGAGCAACAGACTGAAAAACCTTTCAAGGTCTCTTCCAGACCTCATACTCTATGAACATGCAATCAGATTAATGAAAAGGAATGCTAACACTGTGAAAAAGATTACAGAATGCTATCTCCATAAAGAATGTAAAGAATATAAGTGTCTTAAACTAGTAATGGAACATAATGAAATAGAATGGAGGTAGTAAACTGAATAAACACGCATTCTTTCTCAAAGTCTATTACAGTTTCAGTTCAGAATTAATTACAACAACAATAAAAGGATAAACGATACTTCAATTCAAACATCACAACATTATTGTGAGTTAGTAAGGCTTATCTCTCTGCAGCCATAGGGGGCTCATTTTGGGAAAGATGCAGAGGAAAGCTCTTTCTATAGTCAGTTTTATGGCATTAATTCTATCAGATTAGTCACAGAATTAGTTTGTAGGATCTTGAAATACAATGCCATCATCAACTTATTTCAGATGTTGTCTTCAACAGCATCACAGATGTCATGAGGAAAATACATGAAATGTAAGAAGTAGCACAACCTGAAACTTGCAGATGATTAAGATCCATCAATCTGTGATTCTGTGGTTCATCAAAAGGAAAAGAAGACTTTAATAACAAGAAAAAAACTGAGATGTTAGTTGAGGCTGTGCTGCTGCTGCTGCTGAACTGTGTTTTTCTAAGAGCATTAGGAAGAAAACAGAATTAAAGCAACCGCTGTGAGATGGGTAAATTTACGTACAATGGTGAAATGAGATGTTAAAGATACAACAAAATTCTCAGGAGTGCAACAGGAGGATGGCATCCTCCTGATTGGCATCCTCTTCCTGTATTCTTTCAGACAAGGAAGGAGCCTGGGGGATAGATCCGAAAGTACTGACGACAATAATCATTTAATGGGGTTTAAAGGGAAATGTTTGGAAGAGGTGTGTTCTCCAAAGGTGTGGAGAAAGTTTCGTTTATACTCCAGTAGGTTGAGGAATGTTTCATAGTTACTTATTAAAAAAAATAATAATTAAAAAAAGGTATATTGCAATTTTTGTTGAGGTGGGCGCTCTATTTTTTCAGCCATTAATTTCCTAAAGAGCATCTTATGAATTAGACTCTCTCCAATAGTATGGAAAGTACATTCCAATAGAACATTAGTCCAAAAAGTCACAGGCAATGGTACAAAAAGATATCTTTATAGTAAAAGAAAGAGAAAATAGAAGGGTCATCTAACTTTGACCTGTCTCTGGAGGAACCATGCATTTAGTTTGCCATTGCAAACCCATTTTTTTCAGGGGACTGCTGAAGAGTCTATGGATGTTACATAGGACACAAGTAGGAATGAATTGGAAATTGGAAATGAAAACTCATTTCATGTTGGATTGTAGACTAGAATTGCAGTGATTTCTACTAAGTGTTGTAGATTGTTCCTAATCCACATTTTAAAGCTTTAGTCTAGAAGACTTAGTTATGATGTTATGATTTAAATGAATGTAGTAACTATTGTTACTATGATCTATATGAATGCAGTAACTATTCTTCAGATGAACAAAATAAATACTTTGAGACAGTGCACAATAGGAAACAGGCACCAATGAGTCTGAATAGCTTCTTCCAGCCTCTATGAATGTGACACAGCAAATGTATATCTCAAGATTCAGAACTGTAGATATAACTGTAAGGAAATCTGGTTTGGATATGTTAGGATGTTATCTAGCATGAATGAAGGCAGCTATGAGAAAATACAAGTCTTCTACACTAGGGGGACCTGTAGCTCCAGAATTGATTGTGTGATGAGATCTGTGGTTTTAGTCTGGTTTCCATCACTGAGATGGAGAAAATTACAGCTTAGAGCAAATTCTCCAGATATTCCCATCACACTGAATCTGTGCCTTGTGCCACTTCTACTGGGACTGGAGGTGCTTCCATTGGGCTAATTTTGAGTCAAAAAAATTCTGTCAGTCACAGACTGTCAAAAGAAGCAAAATAACTTCAAAACCACAGCCTCTGAAGAAGGACTGTACTTACACTCTTTGGGAAGTAGGAATTGTCTGGTTTAAGTGCTATGCCTTTAGTGGAATTAATTTGGCCAAACATAAACTTTTGGAGTGGTGAAATGAAGGCTTGTCGTGGTCATATTGTACAAGGTTCATGGCAGAAAGGTTTGGATGCACACAAAATAGATCTCCGTGTTTAAATTATTAATGTAATGCCTTTAAGACCTATGCAGAGGAATAATGCACTTCCAAAGCATAGTTCTTGTCTGTTATAGATGACTCTTTAAGTAGCGACTCCTGTATAAACTCCACTGATATATATTGAATGCATGTATTTATCAGAATGTATTTATTAAAGTTATTTAATATTTTTAGGTAAATTAATTCTACAATTGCTTTCCCCTTACTGTCAATAAAGAGGAACAGGCACTTATGTGTATGGATGAATTATCTCCCTAAGGAAGGCCTTAAAACATCCCACCCTATGTTTCGCCACTCACTACAAAGGGGATCTAGACTGAGTTTGTGACATAAAATTGTGATACGTTGACTTGTAATGTTTAAATCAGAAAAGTTCTATAACTTTGGTGCTAACTTGGTGATGAATACATACAAAATTTCTAGCAAGAGTGTTTCAAATAGAAAGGTAAAGAACAAAACATGAAGATACAGGATGCCGTTGTTAGTATTATGCTTAGGAGACCTCCTGTTTAATAAACCAGAGTACCTACTTCATCTAAAGAATGCTAAGAGCAGTTAAAGTGACTTTCAAGAACTTCAGGATCCTCCCTGACAGATATGTGTCCCATCTGGAAGCTTAATTACATCTACCCAACTTTTTAATATCTGAGGAAACACCTAAATATATTGATTGTGACTTAATCCCTCCATGCATAAATCACATCTTCAGCCCAAGGGCTTGAAAAGTAGTGGAGGGTTATGGAAATTTTCGTTTTGGGGTATGAAAAAGATGATTTAATTGTGTTTATGAGAAGGGCAGAGAGTTTTTTCTGGCCTTCTGTAGAGGCTGAACTCCTCCTGCTGTTCATCAGGTAGAGAATTCCACCTCAGAGACTTGTCAGTCCTTCTTCACATGAAGTTTATTTCCCTGCAAAGGCCCAATGTGAAGTTTATATTGCATCGTGATGCAGAGTAAGTGATGAGGTTTATATTTAAAAGTATCTCCTCCTGAATGTACCTCCTATTTTTACCACTACTTCTGTTAGATTCAAGCTTCTCTCCCTGCAGAAAATGCACCTGCTGACTGCTTGTCTGTTAGTCCTTATTTCTTTGCTTTGCTTTCACACACTATCAGATCGTTGACCGAATCTTTTCAGCATCTTCACTGATCCATTTCTTAAGTACCTTGAGGAGGTGGGAAAATCATAAACAGCAAATGCCCATTTTCCTGCTTAAAATGGGCTTTGTTAGTGGGTAGACTAATAAAATAAGCAGCTACAAGTTATCAAGTATATCTTTTTCCTTAAGGACGTCAGCAAATTCTGTTCTTCAGCGAAATGCTGTCCTTGTGGATCACTGCAGCAGGAGATCCCTGAGTGCTGCTCTGCTTTCATAAGCCTGCTGTACAGTTTAGGAGGGCATCCATCGGAAAGCACACAATGTAAGAGATTTCTGGAAGGTACCCATCTCATCTAAATGAGTCCCGTGGGCTTCTGGCACAAGTAACAGAGGGTAAGATGCACAATGAGAAAGTGATTAATTCTTGCCTCCAAACTAATACGTTTTTTCACTTTTCTAGCTGCCTTACCCTCCTTAGGCAAGTCTCTGCAATGACTTCTGACTAGACACTGCATGTTAAGTTAGTATATTAAGTTTATATTAAGTTAACCATAGTTTATCTTCATTTCTGGATGTATACTGTCAAAACTTCACTGTGTTCCACAAAAATAAGATGTTTTCCACCATCTGAGAGTCTGATTCACTCAACCCTGCTCTACCCACGTTGTCAAGAAAACTTTGGGTGAAACATTTCCTCTCAGTATGACCAGAGATCAACATTTTCCTGCATAATAAAGAGCAACTATTAATAGTTTCTATACAGGCACTATCCATAAGAAGCATCAGAGATCATCACAAAATTTCCAAAAAAAAAAAAAAAAGAAAGAAAGAAAAAAAGAAAGAAAAAAGCCTTAAAATCCTTGATCATGGTGCATCAGCAAAAGCACAGAGTAACAAAAAATTCTACATGCAACAAGAACCAAAGGAGTGCTTGCTCTCCAGTTACTACCACTCTGCTCATATCAAATCATTTACTTGCAACATGCGTCATACAAACACAGTAATGTCACAGGATTGAGTACACTTACAGGGTAATGGTTGATAGTTCTGACATCTTGCAAGAGTGCTGGTTAGCCCTCTTAGGCTTACAGTAGCATTTCTGAACGCAGCTGCTAAATATGACAAGATTAGCATTTTTTTCAGCATATTGTGAACAGGCCAAAGGTAGGTCACTTTCAACATATTTCATGAGACAAATCACAAAGATGGAAAGCGGACACGACGGGATGGAATTACAGCACAAACCAGCTGCTTGACTGAAGCAATAAAGAAACAAAATCAACGTGAAAATAAAATGCACTGGCAATTGGGATGCGCTGACCCACAGACAAATCAAAGATGGAAAACCTAGAGGCAGGCGGGCAGTGTTACATGTCCAAAATACACACGGCCTTGGCAGTCTGGTAGTGTACAGAGGGTAACAGAACAATATATTAAATGAAAGTTGACTGCACGCTTGTGGAGGACATTAAAATATAACATAAACTTGTAGGATGGAAACTAATCTAAGGCGAAGTTGGATCAGCTGCTCTTCATTTTCACGCGTAGGTACTCGTGGTGGTGTGAATCTCTTTTTAAGACACCTAGCTGAGGGCATCACAGCACTTCTTTGCCCAGCTTTCTTGACGTATGAGCTCAGGATGCAAAGTATGTCTCATCGCTGATTCAGAGGTACCTCTTATTTTTGTCTCACAGACTAAGAGAGTTGGGGTGGTAAAAGCAGCAGGCTCGCACAATATGGTCACAATATGATCCTAGCATGCTGCACTCTAGAAAGGGCTACTATAGAGTACAGAATGTTTACATTTAAAATTAGCCAGATAGAAGCTAATATGACTCAGCTGCTAAGAAGGCTAATCTTGAAACAACATGGGAAAACACTGTGAAGGACGTGAGGGAGAGATATTTCCCAGCTGTTATGACAGACTAAAAACCATTTGAATTGAAAACAGCAATTTGTTATTGACATTTACAGGGGTGTTTTTCTTGCTTGTTTTGTTTTGTTCTCAATCTACGGTTGCTTTGGTGGAATTCACCTCAAGGAAGGTTGGATGTCTAGGTGAGCTCGACATTCCTGTTCCATGGAGAATCATCAAAGGGAGAATCATCATATGTAGTCAAGAGAGAAGTACACACTCGGTCAGGATATATCTGCCCTATTCTGGATATTCACTTTAGGATGGGATGGACAAGGTCCACTAACTGCCCTGACTAAATCTCCATTGATTATAACAGATATTCTGCCTACAAGGCAAGCATCTATCTTTATTCAAACCAAACTCTGTTTTTGTTGCTCTGCTAATATGAATGCTCTAAGATTTATGTTCACTGAGACATAGATGGAAAATAAGTTTGAACTGTGAAATAAAACAAACTGAAAACAATTTAAGCTTCGGTCTACTGTCAACACTTTTAAGTAATTTCCATTCAATGGAGATTTTTGGATTTGGTTTTGGTTTTCCTTTGAGGTAATCAACAACTGAGATTATTATTAGATATTATAGCTTAAGAACTGGAAAAAAAAGTACAGCAAAGATTCAGCAGACAGAAAAAATAACTGTGTTTCAATCTGCTAAAAGAATCTCTTTTATTGGATAAAATTGAAAAAGTAACTACAAAAATGACCGTGCCTTCTACAAAATCACGTCTGTGATAAAGTTCTGCAGTTCTGCTATCTTTTACTGAGCTGTGCATTAATTGATATTTCAGACTGATTGAAAGTGGGGATGACAGTTTTAGAGAAGGTTTCTCTTTACTATGGCGGAGACTTTCAAAAGCAACGATGGATTTTGAGAGTCTCATTTTTGGATCACCTCATCTGAAACACATTTTATCAAAACAACTGTGACCACCACAGAGCTTCTCAGCATGTACTGAGAGCTAACGCTCATGGAGGTGTCTTAATGTGCATAACCTGAAAAGGAAATGCCTGAAGTCAACAATCACTTTTAAAAATCTCACTCATGGGGTGCTGTAGTGGAATGTTTTCTTCAATGACATTCTTAAGTTGCAGAGGTAATCTGGAACAAAAAAATCTCCATTGATTAAGACCTGTTCCTTTATTGATTATGCCCTGTTTTACATGTCAAGGGTTGATTTTCATCACAATGAGTATAACTACCTTGACAGCATTTGTTTTTCTGATGCAATTACCAAAAGGTAAGACTTGATTCTGTAAATAACTACTGCTCTACTGCCAATGAGGTTAAATTCACATGTGGGCTCATAATGGAAAACGACTTGTTTAGGAAAACATTAGTATTTTAGCAGGCTGTTAGCACTTCTTTCTAATTCCTATCTAATTCATTTTGAATCATCTCCATGTCATCTGAGATTAAAAAGTCACGTGAAATTTTTAGAATGCAGAACTGACAGAAGCTTTCCTCTTTTTTTCCCCCCCACTTTTAATTGTTCCATTATTTCTTGATTTTTAAGCAAAGTTGAAACTCTGATGGAAAGAAAGGAAAAAAAAGAGGGAAGAGACAGAGGAGTCAGGAAACATAAAGGAGAAAAAGAAAAATTGCAAAATAAGAGAAAAATTAATATGCATGAGACTACAGAAATCAAAACATTAGACGAATTAGGGCAGGATTCTCAGATCTCTGTAGGCATAGACATAATGGAACTGGTCACATCTAACTACATGTGACTAAGAAGGATTTGAACCACCTCCTTTATCTCACTCAATCACAGAAAGAACTGAGCAGTTCCAGAGGTCAGGTTGACCTATGCAACAGAGGTGTGTAAGACATACAGGATGCATTGCCTTATGGAGGTGCCCAGGTCTCCCAGTTTGACCATAGACAACGACTAGACTACTTAGATTAAATACGAGACTTTAAACAGCTAAAGGCAAACAAGCTGAGTCTCACCGCATGGGTCCTGTGCATGGACTGCAGCTGCATCTGGGAGGAAGAGGGAGGGTGCTAGGGTGGAAGGGGAAAGAAAATGTTAAACATTCCCAGGATGAAATGAGTGATGCATGATGTGGCTGAAGACCACCTTGTCAGACTGAACACCCTGCTGCTGTTAATGGAGATGAGACCATATACAAGGTTGTTGCAATTCAGTCAAGGCTTTGCAGGCTTCTCAGGGGTGCTTAAGAGAGCTAACATGAGAATGCTGATTCAGAGGAACAATTATTCATTTAAACCAAGGCTTTGTGGCTACATAATGAAAAATCAGGGTTCTGGGTTTAGGTCATTAATAACACATGGGGAATGGCAGTTTCTGGCTTTTCTCTGAATATAAAGGTAAAGCCCTTGAGAAAATAGAATAAACATAGAAATTAAAACTGTGTCTCATTAAGAACCTTCGTGCACCCTGCTCAAATACTTCTACATATACAGATAGGATTAGCACCCTGGGCACTGAAAAAGAAAAAAAACCACAAGGTGTAGCAGTAGGAAAGGAATGCAGAAACAAATTAGTAATAAAGAAATAAAGTGTTGAAAATGAGTATAAAATTTATCAAAATTAAATAGAAATTCTGTAGAGAAAATAGATAAACAAAAAAAAAAACATGCAACCCTGCCATCTAATATTCATGCTTAATATTTTCTTGGATTTTTTTTCAATTGAATTTTTTCCATTTCAAAGAAGGAATTTTTGCAGCTAGACCAAAACAAAAACTACCTTTAGAGAAATCCTGAATTTACAGATTGGATGTGGGCAGAAAACAAAGGGTTCCACCTTGCAGCAGTGACACAGCGTGCAAGTGGACTCACCCACCACTCTCATCCACACACAGAATGAACAGCACTGGTGCTCCTCTGATTGTTCTTTAGTCTCATCTTGTCTAACTTTTGAAGCTTACATTATAGATATCTGCCCCTAACTTTGTCATCCTGTGCTCAATTTGCAGTCCATGGTGAGAAACAGACCATAAAGCCTGATTTGTCAGGCCAAATTTAGTAGATTTCTACTGACTGCTCTGAATAAAGCTCTACAATTGAAAGCATGTTCAAAAGTCCAAGGCCAGTCGTGTTTTGAAGATGTGAGTCTATTTATGTATGGATCTACTTCTTATTGATAAAACCATTAAACTGAAAAACTAACTCCTGACATCTCTAAGGGATCTGAGATACTCTAGGGTCATCTTCTGACTCATGGGAACCATCTGGAAACAAGTTTGGATAAAAGAAGGCAAAGTATTACATTTCCTTCACACTCTTTGTCCAGATAAATCAGTTGAAATCAGTTGACCATAATGGACGTAGGTTTTTATTTTTATTTTTTAATCTGGCTTCTTGGTCTCTTATTCTTTGAGGGATCTTCCATTTGCTTAACATCAGGGAAGTCAGTTTCCTTTCTCTTTTCTGTTCTGAGTAACTGGATTTTTCTTTTTTTTCCCTAGTGATTTGGAAGAACATAAAGAAGATTTTCACTTTTTGCTTCTATGTACTTTCAAAGGCAATGAGCTTCAAGACGAAAACTACGACATGCAGGAATTCTCACAAGATCGTTCAATGGATTTCAAAACTCCCATACATAAAGAAAACGTGGAGAAAAAGGTTCCACTGAAAGTAGATACAATCACTGTAACTGAAAGCCAGTGTGGCCATTAGAACAACAAAAAAATGACATGGAAATGGTATGTCTGTGAGGAAACCACTGTCACCTCTCCAGAGAATGAGGCTGGATTACTGACTGCAGACCAGAGATGCAGTTGAAAAGAGATGTTAAACAATAAGGAACTGAAACTGGAACTTCTTGGCCAATAATTCTGACTTTTGCCCAGAACTGAATCTTGAAGTCGAAGTGGTGTGGTCAAAGATTGCAAAAAATCTACTCTACCTTGCTCATTCTTGACTTTGCTAACACCTACAGGTGGTCATACAAGGATGGAAAAAGTAACTGTCATGCACAGAGCTCAGAAAGTGAAGAGAGAAAGCTTAATGTTTAGCTGTGCTCTAGAAAAGAAACTTTTCTAAAGAATAGAATACTTTCATCAGAAACAGACTTTAAATAATCTGTAACTTTGAAGTTACAAGCTCTGATCCTTCTTCTATTTTAATTCTGCAGACCATATTTCCACAAACTCACTGACTCTAGAACCTATCTAATGTCATGCATGATGGAACAATTTTGATGGACATGCATTAATGTAACT